TGAGCCAAGCCAAGAGGAACTACCATGTGGGAGATAGGGAACTTTTAGCACTTAAGATAGCATTCGAAGAATGGAGATATCTTTTGGAAGGAGCCAGCCACCCAATTATGATTTTCACAGATCATTAAAATCTGGAGTATCTAAGGTCCGCCAAGTGCCTAAGACCTCGACAGGCTAGATGGGCTTTATATTTCTCCAGGTTTAACTTCCACATAACCTACCGCCCAGGATCCAAGAACAGTAAGGCAGATGCCCTTTCCCACATGTTCCCAGGCCCAGAGGAGCCTTCTCCCCCAACACCATTTCGTCGGCCCAAAATGTTTTGCTGATCCAACTCAGCCTAAAGTCTTGGATCAAGCAAGCCTCTGTACTATGTCCTGAACCCGAACAAAATTCGCTTAGAAGGCAGGATGGTCTTTTGTGGCACAAGGTTAAAATCTTTGTACCCCAAGAAGTAAGGTCTCAAATTTTCAGGGCTTTCCATGACCAGCAACTGGCTGGACACTTTGGAGCCCGTAAGACAATGGAACTAATCCAGCGATCCTTCTGGTGGCCCAACTTGAATCATGACTATAGATCTTATGAGAAGTCGTGCACAGTGTGTCTGCGGAACAAGGGTGACAAAGCCAAGGCTTGGGGTTGCTGAGGCCCCTGCCCATTCCTGATCGTCCCTGGGAGATGGTCGCAATGGACTTCATTGTGGATTTGCCACCATCGGAGGGGTTTACTACCATTATGGTAGTAGTGGATCGGCTATCCAAGATGGCCCACATTTTACCAATGGTGGATACTCCATCCGCACCAGAGACTGCACTAACCTTCATCAAAGAGATTGTCAGGTTACATGGTGTCTGACCAGGAATATCATCTCAGACCGAGGGGTGCAGTTTACGTCCAGGTTCTGGAGAGCCCTCTGCAAAGCCCTGAAGGTGGAACTCTGCCTATCGTCCGCCTAACATCCCCAGAGTAATAGGCAAATGGAGCAAAAACGAACCAGACTTTGGAGCAATATTTGCGGTGCTTCTTCTCTCTGCTTTTTCTCAGGATGATTGGGCATCTCTACTCCCATTGGCAGAATTTGCCTACAACATCTACAAACCAGTCACCATTTTGGGCCATTTATGGATTCCACCCTTCCTCCATACCTGACACAATTCCTGAAGCTTCGGTACCCGCAGTACAGGACAGACTCTCCATGCTACAGAACAACTGTAAAGTCCTCCGAGAGTCTATATTGAAATCCCAGGCTGATTATAAGAAACACTATGACAGGAAACGGAGAGGAAACCCTCCTCTGAAGATTGGCAGTTGATAGCCAAACTTTGTCTCCAATCTAAAACTCCCGTGCCCGTCACGTAAGTTGGGTCCAAGGTACATTGGCCCTTTCCAGATCAAGAGGGAAATCAATCCAGTGGCGTTTGAGCTGTGCCTGCCGGAATCCTAAAAAATCCACCTAGTTTTCCACATCTCCCTACTCAAACCAGCGGTTCCTGATCCTTTTCCAGGGAGAATAACCGCTGATAACAGTTGGGGAGGAGATGGAATACAAGGTTGAAGCAATTCTGGACTGCAGAAGGCGGGGAAGACAAATCCAGTACCTGGTCAGATGGAAGGGATACCCACCTGAAGAAAGTTCCTGGGAACCAAAAGGCAATGTACATGCCCCCAGGCTTCTCCAAGAATTTCGTTCTAAGTATCCTGAAAAGATGGCCCAGGTGGGCATCTGGAGGCTGCCCTTTGGGGGGGACACTGTCAGGGTCCTGTCTACGGCAGAAGTTTTGGAAGATCTGGCATTTCTGCCAGTACTCTGCATACCCGCAGAAGGACACATCAGCCTCAGTTTGGTGCTAGACGGCCTTTATAAGGAGGCTCATCACTTCCTCAAGTTGCTGGATGATCTTTAGTTCCCCGTGCCCTGTTCCTGTTTCCTGTGACTTTCACCTGTGATTTCCTGTTACCGAATCGGCTTGCTCCAGGACCTGTCTACTCTGCTTTACTCCTGATCTGACCTTAGCCTGGCTTACGGATACTCTCTCTTGCTCCTCTGTGCATGACCTCGGCTATCCCATCTGACTACGTCTGCTCTGATTCGCACCTGGTACCTGACCTTGGCTTGAACCGATTACCCAGTAAACATCTAAATCCCGGAAGGGCTTGCATACCACACACAGGCGCCTCCTGTCTGCAGACCTATCTCCGTGCACCAGCTGTGCTTCTGAGTGGACCACCAACCAGCACTCCTACAGGTGACCTGTGCAACTTTGGGCCTGACTCCCGCTGTCCCACTCTCAGGGAGTCCAGAACTTAGCTGCAAAGCAAGCCCTCTCTCCATTGGCCTCCATCACCAGGTACAAGATAGGCATCATGTGGTGTCCTCAAAACCAGATGTGGCCCTTAATCACCTTTCTCCTTGGCTTTTTAAAGCTTTTTTAAAGATTAAAGCTCTGCTGCATCCTTTTCATTTTTGTACGCCCGTTTGGACCCCTTTTTTTTCAAAGCTAAGAATTTGGTCAAAGGTGTGAAAACTTTAAGGAGCACACCCCCAAAACGGACCCCCTATTTTTTTTCGCACCTTTATACTCATTGCAACTTATTTTTTATCAAAGAGTGGCTAGGGGGGTGAAAAATGAGTTGATATGAGCTTTAAATTGCTAATAGATTGGCTTGGAAATAGGCATTTTCCAACACCAGAAGTGAAATCATGGGCTGTCCTCAAGACCCTTAATCACCTTTCTCCTTAACTTATTGGGGTTTAAAGCTCTGCTGCATCCTTTTTTCATATTTTTAAGCCTGTTTGGACACCTATATTAATTAAACAGCACCACACTCAAACCCCTCCTAATTATGTAGAAAAGTAAATTACTTCCACCCTTGAAAGTTAATCACAATGTATCAAAGAAAACTTTTCTTTTTCCAACAATCCAACCTACATACAAAAGTGTCCAATATAAAAATTAAATATTAAAATGTCCCCAATATTCTGAACCACATCCGTGAAACAATCTTTTTCTTCTTCCAAAAGTTATTCCCAATTCCGGAAGTCTGTAGTGATCATATACCTCAAAAAAACAAAAACTCAAAATAGTGTCATATCCTTTATACCATAAAAAAATATATACCCCACACTTGTGCAACAAAAAAAAAAAAATTTTTTTATAAAATTAACAAGAGTATGGATATATATGCATTCAACTATACATGAACATATATTCCATAACCTTCAAAATATACACCAACTTTATAAAGTGAAACACTCCAAAATGTGTACACTCCAACAAATCAGTGAAGCATTCCTGTGTGTATCACCACACTATATTAACTGTGCTCAAAAACCACTCCAACTCGTGCAGCAATGAATAATTACCCTCTGGGTATATCAATAAGGCATATCATAAGACTGGGATCGTTTCTCTCTTCAAGTTCTGCCATCTTTTTCTCCAATTTCCTCATAAACAGTAGTTAGATAAGGTAGGTTCAAAACAATACCAATTTATTCAGCAACTTACATTACAGATTGAGAAAAGCAGCTCCTCACAGTAGAGACAGGATATATGGACCAAGCTAGGGAACAATAACCGCATGTTCCCTCTTCCAAAATGGCCGCGATCTCACTTCCGGTTAGACGTCAATGCGTCCGACGTCACGTGTGCTGACGCGTTTCGTCACTTTCCTTTGACTTTTTCTGAAGGGTCAGAAAAAGTCAAAGAAAGTGACGAAACGCGTCAGAGACACGTGACGTCGGACGCATTGACGTCAAACCGGAAGTGCGATCGCGGCCATTTTGGAAGAGGGAACATGCGGTTATTGTTCCCTAGCTTGGTCCATATATCCTGTCTCTACTGTGAGGAGCTGCTTTTCTCAATCTGTAATGTAAGTTGCTGAATAAATTGGTATTGTTTTGAACCTACCTTATCTAACTACTGATCTGTTTATGAGGAAATTGGAGAAAAAGATGGGCAGAACTTGAAGAGAGAAACGATTCCAGTCTTATGATATGCCTTATTGATATACCCAGAGGGTAATTATTCATTGCTGCACGAGTTGGAGTGGTTTTTGAGCACAGCTAATATAGTGTGGTGATACACACAGGAATGCTTCACTGATTTGTTGGAGTGTACACATTTTGGAGTGTTTCACATTATAAAGTTGGTGTATATTTTGAAGGTTATGGAATATATGTTCATGTATAGTTGAATGCATATATATCCATACTCTTGTTAATTTTATAAATTTTTTTTTTTTTTTTGCACAAGTGTGGGGTATATATTTTTTATGATATAAAGGATATGACACTATTTTGAGTTTTTGTTTTTTTGAGGTATATGATCACTACAGACTTCCGGAATTGGGAATAACTTTTGGAAGAAGAAAAAGATTGTTTCACGGATGTGGTTTCAGAATATTGGGGACATTTTCACATTTAATTTTTATATTGGACACTTTTGTATGTAGGTTGGATTGTTGGAAAAAGAAAAGTTTTCTTTGATACTCTGTTTGGACACCTATTGTGCCACTCTGAGAATTTGGTCAAAGGTGTGAAAATTTTGAGGAGCACACCTCCAAAATTGACCCCCCTTTTATTTCGCACCTTTATACTCCTTGCAACTTCTTTTTATCAAGGAGTGACAAGAGGGATGAAAAATGAGTTGATATGAGCTTTAAAAAACCAATAGATTGGCTGGGAAACAGGCATTTTCCAATACTGGAAGTGACATCATGGGCTGTCCTCAAAACCAGAAGTGGCCTTAACCACATGCCTACAGGGCACTTATACCCCCTTCCTGCCCAGGCCAATTTCCAGCTTTCAGCGCTGTCACATTTTGAATGACAATTGCGCCGTCATGCAACACTGTACCCATATGGAATTTTTATCATTTTTTTATGACAGATAGAGCTTTATTTTGGTGGTATTTTATCACCTCTGGGATTTTTATTTTTTCTTAAACAAACCAAAAACCACTGAAAATTTTGAAAAAAAAAAGTTTTTTTCTTAGTTTTTGTTATAAAATTTTGTAAATAAGTGATTTTTCTCCTTCACTGATGTGCGCTAATGAGGCTGCAGTGATGGGCATTGATAGGCTGCACTGATGGATACTGATAGGTGGCACTGACTGGCACTGTTAGGCGGCACTGACGGGCACTGATAGGCGGCACTGATGCACACTGATAGGCAGCACTGACTGGCACTGATATGTGGCACTGATTTGCAGCACTGATAGGTAGCACTGATTGGCAGCACTGATAGGTGGCACTGCCTGGCACTGATGGGTGACACTGAAAGGCAGCTCAGATGGGCACTGATATGTGGCATTGATATGCACTAGTAGGCACTGATATGTGGCATTGATGTGACACTGATGGACACTGGCAAGTGGCATTGATGAGCACTGAGAGCTGGCATTGATGGACACTGACAGGTGGCACTGCTGGGGCTACACTGATCATCAGAGCACACTGATCATCAGTGCCCGGGTGATCAGTGCACATGTCCCCTCCGAGGAATGCCGATTACTGGCTCTCCTCTTTTCAAGAGCTGTCAGGGTGACAGCTTTTGAGGAGAGAAATGCCAATAACCGGCATTTCCCCTGTTTACATGAGATCAGCTGTGATTGGACACAGCTGATCACATGACCGAGCTGACATCTTTGGCTCTTTCCATGAATCGGTGATCGGCTGTGTCCAAGGGACACAGCACACCGCCGATCTGCACGCTCCCCGGAGCCGCACATGCGCGGTGAGAATGGGAGGACAATCATATGACGTCCTCTCAGAATGAGAGAACCGCCTTGCATCCGTCATTGGACTATATGGTGGGCGGGAGGAGGTTAATCATCTTTCTCTTTGGCTTTTTAAGGATTAAAGCTCTGCTGCATCCTTTTTCCATATTTTTAACACCATTTGGACACCTTTTTTGCCACTCTGAGAATTTGGTCATAGGTGTGAAAGTTTCAAGGAGCACACCTGCAAAATGCACCCCCATTTTTTTTGCACCTTTATGTTCATTGCAACTTTTTTAACCAGGAGTGGCTAGAGGGATGAAAAATGAGTTGATATGAGCTTTAAAATTGCATAAACGGTGTCCAAACGGGCTTAAAAATATGAAAAAAGGATGCAGCGGAGCTTTAAACTCCCAAAAGTCAAGGAGAAAAAGTGATTTAAGGGCCACTTCTGATTTTTAGGACTGCCTATGATGTCACCTCCGTTTATGGAAAATGCCTTTTTTTCCCAGCCAATCTATTGGCTGTTTTAACACTCAAATCTACTCATTTTTCATCCCTCTGGTCACACTCCTTGGTTAAAAAAGAAGTAGCAATGAGCATAAAGAGTGAAAAAAATACGGGGTCCGTTTTGGGGGTGTTCTCAAAATTTTCACACCTTTGACCAATTTATCAGAAAGGCACAAAAAGGTGTCCAAACAGCCTTAAAATAATGAAAAAAAAAAAAAAGTGTAGCAGAGCTTTAAACCCCAAAAAGTCAAGGATAAAGGTGATTAAGGGCCACTTCTGGTTTTGGGGACAGCCCATGATGTCACTTCCGATTTTGGAAAAAGCCTGTTTTCCAGGCAATCTATTGGCTGTTTAAATCTTAAATCAACTCATTTTTATCCCTCTGGTCACTCCTTGGTAAAAAGAAGTTTCAAACGAGTATAAAGGTGCGTAAAAAATAGGGGGTCTGTTTTAGGGGTGTGCGCTTTGAAATTTTAACATCTTTGACCAAATTCTCAAAGTGGCACAAAAGGTGTTCAAACGGGCTTAAAAAAATATGAAAAAAGGATGCAGAAGGGCTGTAAACCCCGAAATGCCAAGAAGAAAGGTGATTAAGGGCCACTTCCGATTTTGAGGACTGCCTATGATGTCCTACCTCCGTTTATGGAAAATGCCTTTTTCCCCCAGCCAATCTATTGGCTGTTTAACACTCAAATCTACTCTCATTTTTCATCCCTCTGGTCACTCCTTGGTAAAAAAGTCGCAATGAGCATAAAAGGAGCAAAAAAAAATAGGGGGAACGTCCGTTTTGGGGATGTTCTCAAAATTGGTCACACCTTTGACCAAATTCTCAGAGTGGCACAATTCTCAAAGTGGCACAAAAGGTGTCCAAACAGGCTTAAAAATATGAAAATAGGATGCAGCAGAGCTTTAAAGTCCAAAAAGCCAAAGAGAAAGGTGATTAAGGGCCACTTCTGGTATTGAGGACACCCCATGATGTTCACTTCTGGCTTTGGAAAATGCCTGTTTCCCAGCCAATCTATTGGCTGTTTTAAAGCTCGAATCAGATCATTTTTCATCCCTTTGGCCACTTCTTGGTAAAAAGAAGTTTCAATGAGTATAAATGTGCAAAAAAAATGGGGGGTCCATTTTGGCGGTGTGCTCCTCGAAATTTTAACATCTTTGATCCAAATTCACAGAGTGGCACAATAGGTGCCAAAATGGGCTTAAAAAGATATGAAAGAAGGAAGCAGCAGAGCTTTAAACCCCAAAAAATCAAGGAGAAAGGTGATTAAGGTCCACTTCTGGGTTTTGAGGACACCCCATGATGCCACTTCCGGTTTTGGAAAATGCCTGATTCCCAGCCAATCCATTGGCTGTTTAAAGCTCGAATCAACTAATTTTTCATCCCTTTGGTCACTCTTTTGTAAAAAGAAGTTGCAATGAGTATAAAGGTGTGAAAAAACCGGGGGGTGTCCGTTTTCGGGGTTGTGCTCCTCGACAATTTTCACACCTTTGACCAATTTCTCAGAGTGGCAGAAAAGGTGTCCAAACGGGCTTGAAAATATGAAAAAAGGAAGCAGCAGAGCTTTTAAACCCCAAAATGCCAAGAAGAAAGGTGATTAAGGGCCACTTCTGGCTTTTGAGAACATCCCATGATGTCACTGCCGGTTTTGGAAATGCCTGTTTCCCAGCCAATCTATTGGCCTGTTTTACCGCTCAATCAACTCATTTTTCATCTGGCTGGTCACTCTTGGTAAAAAGAAGTTGCAACGAGTATAAAGATGTGTATAAAATGGGGGGTCTGTTTTGGGGGTGTGCGCTTTGAAATTTTAACATCTTTGACCAAATTCTCAAAGTGGCACAAAACGGGCTTAAAAATATGAAAAAAGGGTGCAGAAGGCTGTAAACCCCAAAAAGTCAAGGAGAAAGGTGATTAAGGGGTCCCACTTCTGGTTTTGTGCGGACACCCCCATGATGTCCATTCTCAGGGCTTTGGACAATGCCTGTTTCCCAGCCAATCTATTGGGCTGTTTAAAAGCTCGAATCAGCTCATTTTTTCCTCCCTTTGGCCACTTCTTGGTAAAAAGAAGTTGCAATGAGTATAAATGGTGCAAAAATAAAATGGGGGGTCCATTTTGGGGGTATGCGCCTCAAAGTTTTCACACATCAAGGAAAATGGAGATTAGGGGCAACTTCTGGTTTTGAGGACAGCCCATGATGTCACTGGATGATCATGTTTTGGAAAATTACTTTTCCCTGCCAATCTATTGACTGTTTTAAACTCAAATCTCATCTAATTTTTCACTCCCTCTGGCCAATGTATATGTTCCCTCCCTCTGCTGCCCTGACTGAAAATGACTGCCTACTCTCTGAAAAATAGCAATCCACACTGGGTTGGCTAAAAAGACATGTGCAGGCATTGACAGGTGTGAGGGGTGGTGATATGTTGCCTCCTCACACTTGTTTTAACCCTCTAAATCAGGTCGGCCAACCCGTCGAATGTGATCTACCCGTCACTCATAGCCAGGTGACAGGTAGATTAGGATTCAGCTTTGCTGACCCCTATATTCCTCCCACATTGAAAGCAGCGCAGGGATTAGGAACTTCTACCTTGTATGTTGCACTGGTATCCCAGCTTGTCCCTTCTCTCACGTCCATCCCAAGGTGCTTTTGTGTGACCTATCACTGGGATGGACAAGAGAGCAGGAATGGCCATTGATCAGCACACACCAGAGAAAGAAGAGTCGCCTGAGGTTCCCTTCTCTGTATAGTGAGGAAAGTTTCAGCTCTCCTGTGGAGCCCCTGTATACATTATCACTGCACTACCTGACTGACCCAGTCCTCTGCACTGCTAACTGTCTACCATCCCACTGCCTGTACTACACTGTCACTCAGTTTAGTCTGAACTACTGTCACCATCCTACTGCTCTACTACTCATCATCCTCTGAACTAATAACTGGTACCATCCGTTTGCCTAACTAGTCACCCCACATTGACTACCTTACAACTGTCAACCATCCTCTGCCTACTGTCATCTGATCCTTTGCAATACTAATCTGTCACTATCCACTTGCCTTATTAAAAATGTCACCATCCTACTACTTACGTAACTGTCACCATCCTCTGCCTTACTGTCACCATCCTTTGCAACTACTAACTGTCACTATCCCACTGCCTTACTAAACTGTCACTGTCCCTCATGCACTGCTTAACTGTGCCACCATCCACTACACTTACTAACTGACATCATCCTCTGCACTAGTAACTGTTACCATCCTTTGCACTACTGTCACCACCCACGTTACCTTACTAACTTTCCCATCCTCCATGCCTTACTACTGGCCTCTCTCTGCACTATAAATGTTTACCATACCTTTGCTGTCACCACCACTAACTACTAACTGTCACCATCCATCTGCCTACTGTCACCACCCACGTACCATTTACTAACTGTCACCATCCTCTGTGCCTTACTAACTGTCATCCGGCCTTGCTCTACACTGTCCACCATCCTTCTGCACTACGAATTGTCACTATCCACTGCCTTACCTACTGTCACCATGTCCTCTGCACATCAAACTGTCTAACCAGAACCACTAAACCTATCTAACAGTGCACCACCTCTGTCCTTACCTGTCACCATTCGCTGCACTACTGGAACTGTTTGATTTTTTATTACCATCCTTGCACTACTGTCAACCACCCACTACCTTACTTAACTGTCACCATACCTCTGCCTTACTAACTGTCCACCTACCATCTTTACTAACTGTCACCCATCCTCATGCTCACTACTGTCTCCGGCCTTGCGCTCTACTAACTGTCACCTGATCCTCTGGCGCTACTAACTGTCACCATCCACTGCCACTGTCACCATCCTCGCCCTTAGTAAAGTGCCCATCCTACTGCACTAACTATACTGTCACACCATTCCTCGTGCACTACCAACTGTCACCCGATCCCACTAACCCTTAGTAAAACTGCTGTCACCTTCCACATTGCCTTATAACTGTCCAACCATTCTCTGCACTACAGAACTTTTATACTTTTATCAAACTTTCCACTACCTTACTAACTGACATCGAATCCTATTGCCACTACAAACTGTCACCAACCCACCTACCTTAACTAACTTGACATACACCATCCTCTGTGCTTAACTACTACTAACTGACCCCATCCTCTGACACACTGGCTGTCATCCGTGCCACC